CTTAAGTTAAAATGTGGAAAGCTTAGAATAGTGCCTGGCACATAGCTAATACCCATTACATGTTAACAACTATCATTTTCACTTTATATACTTTGACACTGAATTATTACATAAACTACTTCTGTAATTAAAATAGCCTATGTTTGAGAAAAACAAATGGTCAACAACAGATGAAAAGATGCTTAATCTCAATAAGAATCAAGAAAATATAAAGTAAAAATCACAATACCGTTTAGCCCATCAGACTGGCAAAAAAAAATTTTTATCAAGTCTGGTGAAAGTTTGACTAAAGCAGCATTATCGTACAAAACTGGTGGAAAAAAATCAATTTGTATTATATTTATAAAGGTTTAAAACATGTATATGCTCTGATCCAGCAATTCCACTTCCAGAAATCAGTCCTGAAGATATAGTTGCCACATACATAAAGTGATGCTTTTTCACCATAGCAGTGAAAAACTGAAAATAACCCAAATGTCAGCCAAGAAATGAAATTAAGGTACATGGAATATTAGGTAATCATTAAAACGAATGAGCTAGAACTGTATGCATCAAATGGACAATTCTCTAAGGTGCTAAGTTGTGAGTCTGTGCCAGTTGGTTTATCGCTCCTCAGTTCCAGGTTTACCCTTCTTTGCCTTGTTTTATGATACTGAGTATTGCATACATTTTTCCTTTTCCAGCTGATATGACTTTAAGCTCTACCAGTAGAGGGCGCCGGTGGAACACTGATGAGGAAGGGGTGGGCTTCCTGGTTCCTGAGTGCTTGTCTACCTTCAAGTTTCAACAGCACCCCTGTGGGTGTCTTCCCATTCAGTTCCGGCAGCATCCCTGTGAGCAGCTGCCCAGAATCTCGGTGGCTTCCTAGCGAGTTTCATCAGCCCTCCAACTCCGCATTCCAGCACGTCTGGTTTCCGGCATGCCAGTCCTTCAGTGGACAGGACTCTGCAAACTTCATCATCCAGCGACATAAACCGTCATATACTCTCCCATAAAGTCCAATTATCAGTCTTGGAGGGAAAGGGGGCCTCTTCCAAATTCTTTCCTACCTTGAACGATCTGCTTCAACCCAGGTAGTGTTTGTTCCCTATATCTGCTACTGTATTCTTTTAGAGTTCTCTTTACCCCTTAATACTTAATCCCCTATTACTAGTTAATAATTCTTTATATTAAATTTTTCCTATTTAATGTGTGGTTCCTGTCTCCTGACTGAGACCCTAGCTGGATACAGTGTCTCATTTATGTTTTTAAAAAGCTGTGTGTGGAGGGAGGGTACAGCTCAAGTGGTTGAGTGCATGCTTAGCATGCATGAGGTCCTGGGTTCAATCCCCAGTATTGCCTCTAATAATAAACAGGTAAACCTAATTACCTCTCCAAACCAAAAAAAAAGGGGGGGGGAGGGTATAGTTCAGTGGTAGAGCACATGCTTAGTATGCATGACCATGGGTTCGATCCGAAGATGGACAACTCCAGTGTCAAATTCAATTTAAACAGAAGTTAGTAGCTACAGTATAAGGTGATACTTAGAGATTTAAAGCCACTCCTAAAACGGGGAACTTGAGTAGAAATGAATCTAACAGATTACACACTGAAGTGCCAGCAATTGTCATTCCAACAATTTCCAGCTTTATTTCTCAATTTCCACCCCTGCCTAATTACCTATTCCACAGCAGCCACAGCAAAATCTACCGCTACAGTCACAACTGTAAAGTCAGCATTCCCTAACTTCAAATGTAGCAGGGAAGCCCAAAATACAAAATTTTCTTGAAACTAAAGTGTTTTATGACCAAACTGAGATGAACTTGAGGTAATGAAGTAGATGTATGTGCCATTCATATACAGTATAGATAACTGAACTTGTTAAAAATATAAAGAATCTTAGACTTAAGAAATGGAAACTTTGCTGTGGTTTTAAAAAAGGAGTTTGACCGGAATTGGAATCACGGCCCTACCACTAATGAGTAATTCTTTTTACTTACTCAGTTAGGCAGGCAGGTTTTAAAGTCAGATCTTCTGGGATCAAATTCCGGCTATACTACATGTTAGCAAGTTAATCACTCAGCCTCTTTCCTCATTTTTAAAAAGGGGACAATAGTACCTACAGCCTAGGTTTCTGAAGAATTCATTTAAGACATGCACAGCATCTGGCCCTTACTGAAGTCACAATACATGTCCCATCACCTTTCCGAGTCTGGTTTTTTTTTTTAACCTAAAAATGAGGGGTTCCCCCCTAGATTATCCCCAAAGTCCCATTCCTGGTTTACCAGTCTCTAAGTCTACATGATGAAGGATGGGTTTCTTAGGCGGAGGTTGGGGTGGGAGGATGTACAGAAAATAGTCTAACCTGAAAGTCAGTGAAAGAAAGTTCATCAGAAAGGAGGCAGATAAATCAGTAGACACTGTGCTCAGGGAGTTTTGTCAGAGAATGTGTCCGAGGAGTCAAACAAAGCGTCAAGCAACCTGTAAAGGAAGAGGTAAGAAGAGATGCTCCTTTCTCAAAACTGGAGGGTGGGTGGGTGATCTTGCAGTACTCAGAGGTCGAATCTGTTGATCTGGCTGTCAAGGTCCAGTCTTTGAGTAGAACGGGCAGTCCCACTCAAGGAATCCAGGAAAACTCCGGTTATCAGTCTCATCTTAAAGGGCCAGAGAGCACCTCAGTACTCACCAGGTTAATATGCATGCCTACTGCTGCAGAAACTGTGACTAGGTTGGTAATAAGGCGGGCCAACATGACTGCTGACTCTTCACAAGAGTCTCCCAGGCTTTGCTTTACTAACCTACTCGGGATAAACTCCTACAGCATCCCGTACTCTGGTGGGTTATCCTATTTTTCCTCTTACCCATTCAATTCCCCACGAGCACGCTCCCTTCCTGGTCCAGTTGGTCTCACCATGCCACGCCTCCACATCCCTCTCTCCCTCTCACTCTCTCCATTTCTCCAGACCCTCCCATGCTCCCACCCTACCTAATTTTCTTCCCCATTGTTTCTTATTTCTCATTGCCGACTGCCATGTCTCCCCTTTCCTTTCCCACCCCGTGCACGGTGCTTTCCCTCGCTCACCTGGCTCTGGCCAACTGTGGCTCGCCGACCCACTCAGGACTGAAGGCGGAGAAGCTAGCGGTGCAGAGGCCCCGCCTAAGGCGCGTGGACGTCCCGATTCTCCCGCCCCCTGAAGGCGGAGCCCGAAGGCGATTGGTCCCCACGGTGCGCCTACCAGGACTGGCAGCTCTTCCACCCAACTGGGACGTGCCCAGTTCTTCTCTGGTCTAGTGCTTCCCAAGCTCCGGACGCGCTCTCTGTGCCTCTTCCAACCTTTCAGTGTTCTGCAGGCGGTGGTTTTAAAGTCTCCCCGTTTCCTTGAGAAGAGAGCTGAGCCCAGATTTGTTTTAAATAGGAGATTGAGTCAAAATTAGAAAGCCCCCCCTTCCTCTCCCAATTTTCTCCTTGTTCGTGTATGTTGCCCCAACTTTTAAAGAAGTCCAACAATCTGATTTGTAGCCTAGAACTGAGCTCCATGATAATAGTAGCTAACACTCCAAACTTACTGTGCCACAGCCTCTATTAACAGACGCTTTGTAAGAATTAGCTTATTTTTCTCTAAGGTAGATATTTATTATCTCCCTTTACAGAGAGGAAACTAAGTTATACAGGGGTTAAGTATCTTGCTCATGATCAGCTAGTTAAGTGATAGGACCCAGGTAGTCGGATTCCACTGAGCCAAACTCCAAACCCACTATCACCACTGCCTCTGGGAGCCTAGGCTAAGTCTGGCTGCAATTCAAGAAGCAGATTACTGAGGCTTCCCCTCTTCCTATG